CCACCCACCCACCCACCTGAGCCAAGAGTCGTGCGTTATGGTGGTCTTGTGTCAGCCTGTGACGCATCTCGCGAAGACTGACTAGACCAGCTGCAGCGACGATGCCAGCCTGAGAGAGAGAGATGTATGGGCGGGCGATGAACAATGCGTCAAATAATATGATACCCAGTGACCCGGCGCTGTGTGTGGCTGACCTGCCTCCAGCCCCCACCCAGCACCTTGCGCGCGCGACGGGCCCGCAAAATGAACGCCGAACTGAAGGTAATCGCACAACTATCATCATGTCACCAAGCAGTTGTTTGTTTGTGTGTTTCATCTCCACTCACCTGCCCACCACGACAGACCCCACGGGCGCCGCCAAGCCCTTGGACAGACAGATGCTCGCCGAGTCGACATACGACAGCAGCTCCGACGGCTCCACACCCAACTGATTGATGGCATAGGCAGCCTATCCACACGCAAATTGGTAGGGGTGTAAGTGCTTTTTTACGTGTGCGGCGGCGTTGAAGAGCCTTGCTCCGTCCATGTGCAGGAGAATGCGGTGCGCAGTGGTCAGCTCGCGAAGGGAGTGAAGGAACCCTGCACACACAAAGTGCATGGTGGGTGCTGGCCTCCTGTCTGTGAGCATGGACTTGATAGATCGGTCATACCTGTGGGCAGGACACGCCCTCCCGCCTCGTTGTGTGTGTTCTCGATGCACACCACACGCGTCACCGGCTCGTGAACGTCGTCACACCGGATCTGATACCAACCCGATTGCCAGCACCACATATATCCCTTTCAAAAAACCCAATGCCAGCCAGCACCATGTACCACATTCCCACTCACCTTGGCATCCACTTCACTCAGGTCAAACGTGCCGTCAGGCCGGTTGCGGACGGTGCGCGAGTGAATGCCTGACACACATGAGGCCGTGTGTGCAAGGCAGGCAGAGCCGCATTCATTCGCACCACCCGCACCGCATGCCTACCTGCGAGGTGTGCGATGCCGCCCTGCTCGTAGAGGTGGATGTGTGACCTGTCGCCGAGAATGACCTCCGCGCCCCTCTCATGGCAGTGACTCATCAAGCTGCTCAGATTTCTGCTTGATGGACATGCACACACACACGACAGATGCAGACACAACGCATGACGCAACAACGCATGTGGCTGCTTGTTCATATCTGTCTGTGTTGACGCACTCACCCCATCGTCCCGGAGGGCACGAACATGGCGGCCTCCTTGCCACACAGCGATGCAGCCTCGCTCTCGAGCTCATTCACAGTCGGATCCTCACCGTAGACATCGTCCTGACACAAAGCAGGACATCCGCGCGTGGACGGATGGCATCACACGGCTTCCCCTGCTTACCCCGACTTGCGCAGATGCCATCGCTGTCCGCATCCTGACAAACAGAGCCGGCACTCGCAAACACACAAGGGCATGAGGACTGATCGGATGCCTGCTGGCTGACACACACACACCTCTCTGTTGGCTCCGTGACGGTGTCTGAGCGCAGATCGATGACGCGACGATTCGAAGGGTGCCTTCCATGGCTTCCTGCAGCTGACGAGTGGTAGATGCGACGATGGTGGCTGATGTGAGGAGAAGAACCTTGGCGGATCACGGCTGGCCTGAAGAACCTGCGTACGTCAGAGCGACAGGGAAGCATCAGATCTCTGTGTCGATGAAGAAAAGGCAAGAAAGCTGGCCGTCGACGCGGCTATCGCGTCCCGGCCGAACGGGCCTGCTGAATGCATGCTTGTGCATTCTTTCTTCCTGAAGGCAGAGAAGGTGGCTAGTGAGGAGAGAGCTTCAGAGGTCCTACAGTGAGGTCCTGAAGGTACGCCCGCAATTCACCATGGTTGCAATGGTGCTCTTGCATTTGCGTTCTGACTTTCTCATCTGCAGGCCTATTTGGCGTCTGATGCGTGATTGATGTATGCATGTGGGAGTTCATTCCGTCGCAGAAGCCGTCGCGCCGCAGCTCACTCCGCCCTCCCCACCTCAACCGCTCATCCAGCCTGCCAAACGACCCGCCAGTGCACTCCCCGCCCCGCACTCGGTCGCCTGCACAGCCGTCCTCGCCACAGCAGCGGCAGCTGCCCATTCCGCCTCCCCCTTCTAACATGATCAACACCAACACCAGCTCAAACAGCCCGCGGCACTCGCTGGGCGACATCAGCCCGGCGTACACCAAAAGTCGCATCAGCAACCCACCGCCCAGGATACCGCCGCTCGACATTTCACCGATCAGACGGCGCAACACGGGCACCAGCTATGACAGGGTGCGTGCGCTGCATGAGTCCTACCGAGCACCCGCACCCGTGGCTATGCGGCCTTTTCCGAGGGATGAGGGCAGCAGCATTAACGCCGGTTGGGGAGGGGGAAGGGTGCCTTTCGGTGACAGCGAGAGCTCTGCCGCTGCTGCGGGCAGCAGCAGCAGCTACTGGCAGAGGCAGTGCCATGACGAGAGTGACGGTGCCCGTCTGATCCGGCAGCCGATGTCGGATTATGGGACGCCTTCTTCGTCCTTCTCGCCTGGTGGTGAAAGGGGTATGTTGCTGGCTGACGGTGAGGGGGAGGGGGAGGGAGGGGGAGAGGGGGAGGGTGATGTCTACAGGGGAGGGATAGGCGATCCTGCGATGCGGTCGTTCACGCTGGATGAGAAGGGCTTTCGCGAGGCGCAGAGGCTCCTGCAGATGCACGCACACACGGTGAGAAGGACAATATGGTTTGCATGCAGCATTAAAGGCCCTCCCGATGTGCGATGTGTGCGTGCGTATGTGATGGGTGTAGACTGACCCGATGGTGCTGTATCGGCTGGTGTATGACCTCCTGCGGCTGGTTGGATTGGGGTTCATGATCCCGAGGATCGTGACGATAGGCCAGCAGAGCGACGGCAAGACCACCTTTCTCGAGGCCATGTTGCGACTCTGCTTCGGATACACAAGGTGAAAGGGGAAAGGAGAGGACACCGTGAGGCGCATATTCGGTCTTGATGTCTTTTGCTGTTTTTGTTGTTGTCTCCGTCCCTTGTAGGAACGGTGCTGCGGCGACCAAAGGACCTGTTCGGTGAGACATGCAGATTTGTCCGACACTCACTGGCTTTATGTAGGTATCGGCCATCCGTCCCTCCATCCATTCATCTGTCTATTGCAGCATCGATGTCAAGAATGACGAGTCGAGCCCCACACCTCGGTGCCAACTCAACCAGGAACACATACGACTCGCAGGTAGGTAGCAGGTGGTCAGGCAGCAATCACTGCACAAATCAAACATCTCCTGTGTCTGTGTGTGTGTGTGTGAGTCAGCGATCCAGGGTCGTATGCGCGAGTTGATGGAGCATCGGTCGCTGAGCAAGGAGGAGACACACCTCGAGATCAGCTACAGCGGGGCACCCAACCTCATGTGCGTTGATTTGCCTGGCATTGTGCAGGAGACCGGAGACACCACGAGGGAAGACGTGGAACTCACCATGTACTCACTGCCTCCCTCCCTGCACTTTGATGGACGCACTGACGCTGTTTTGTTTGGTGTTGGCTGTCCACGTGTGTCTGCAGGGATGTGGTGCGTCATTATGTGCGCCACTCGCCCAACGACCTCTATCTGGTGTTCAAACGGGCTGATGTAGACCCTGGTATGCGGCCGGATGGACGGGCAAGATGGCATTCTCGCGCACTGGTGTGTGTCATTTGTCTGTTTCAGGCACGTGGCCAATCCATGACTTCATCCAGGTGACCAACAGAGGACCGGCATGGATGGATGGATGGACACGGGCACTCTCGGTGCATGTGTGTGTTTGCATCAGAGTTTGGGTCTGCACCGCGAACAGACGATTGTCGCGTGCACCCGGGCAGAGAACTTCCTGAGGGAGAACAGGGTGATTTACAAGACGGAGCTGCTGAAGCTGATAAAACAGAAACGCGTCCACGACTGCTCAGGCGAACCGGTTCGCCTGCATGCAGACAGACACACACACACGGGCAGGCCGCCCCCCCATCTCCCTATGTGCCAGATCCCGATGTACTTTGTTGAGCTGCACAACCTCTCTGACCAGGAGAAGGCTCTGCCATTCGCCGAACGGTACGCCTGGCGCACACAAAAGGCCGCCATGCCATTCCCTTTCTGTGTGTGAATGGTCGGTCGGTCGGTCGCATTCTTGAAATGAGTTCCAGGACGGCCGTGATGGAGGGCCAGTTGGCTGCCCGCCGGCTCGACATTCTCGATCGTCTGAACAAGCTGGAGGTGAGCAGCAGAGCACCGCCGAGCAGAGGTGACACGTCCATGCATCCCTTCTGCTGGCGTGCAGAATGGTGCTGCGACTGATGAGGACACGACTGAGCTGTACCGATATTTCGATGTGGAGGTGAGCTTAATTGACACCATGATGCGCAGTGTTGATTTATGATATGCCTTCTGTGTCGCCCCTGTCTGCAGTCGCTTGAGGCGCACCTCAACGCCACTTTCCGCCGGCTGCTGCTGCGGCAGCTGCACGCACTCAAGGCACACACACACCATACACACTCGTGAAGGAATCCCCCCTCTCTCTCTGTGTGTGGTGCAGTCTAGCTTGACATCTCTGTTGAATGAGTTGACCAGCCGGCATCAAGTGATGACTCGTCAGATGGAGAAGATCGCACCCTTGACGCTCGGGGACCTCATCGAACGCATTGTCGACCTCCTCGACGACACAGCACAGGCAGAACCCACACACAGAGACATACACACATGATGATTGCGTGAATGTCGCTTCTCTTTCTTTGTGTGTGCGTCTGTGTGTATGTCTTTGAGTCCAGAAGCTGTTCAACGGCGAGCATCCGCTGATGACAGAGGCCTTCATCGCGCAGCACGGCGCGAGGCTAGAGGACGATCTCGGGTCAGCCCTACCGCACTCACCACCCTCCACTTGTGTTGGGCACTGTGCCGTTGTCCATCCATCAGCCACGGCGAAGACCTGGCCCGGCGCATCTTTCGCCAATACGACACCAGCCGCCCTGTCAGTGAGACATGACGCACAGACAAAAAGGGACACTCGTCGTGCTGTGCCATCCATACCATGGCAGGCTGAGCTGTCGAGCGGCATCAGTCGTGTGACGACCTTTGACACCAAACTCATCACGCGACTCGCCATGAACAGGGTCTGCCAATTCCTCAAGGTGAACCGACACCGACAAACAAAGCGAGACGCGGGGCGATACTGATGGTGGACGTCTGGGTGTGTGTGCAGGAGAAGATTGACGACCTCGAGCCAGAGCTGCGATGCACCAAGGTCTGCCGCGCACACAAATCAGCTGCTCTCTCTTTTATGCCTGTCTGTGCGTGTGTGTGTGTGTGTGTGAAGGACTATCTGCTGAACAAGCTGGGTGCAGTGCGTGGCGTGCTCGACTCCTACTCGGTCAAGTCGATGCTCCCGGAGCTCGTCAGACACACCACCAGAGGACCGCTCACACAGCTGGCCTTCCTCAGTGCCGCGACTGCAGGCAAACCTAAGATCAACATGTGCATGATATCCACATGAAGTGGATGCACGTGTGTGTGTTTGTCCTGCAGCTGCCGTGCTCCAGCGCGTGCTGCAGGCTGCCCTGGAGCTGGTCGAGAAACGGCTGCTGCAAGACCCACACAAGTAAATCATGACCAACCGAGGTCACCTCTGCACACACCATATGTCTGTATGTGTGTGTGTGCCCATTGGCAGGAGCCACATGTTGTTCCTGCTGGAGAACACTTCATTCGTGTTCGCCGTCCAGAAGGCGTGTGCCGACCATGCCGTCCGCAAGGCCGCCGCCTGCGCAAAGGCCATGGTCCAAGACATACACGAACAAGTACACACACACATGCCAGCATTGCCGTGTCCCTCCCTCCCTCCCTCCCTCCCTCCCTCTCGCTCTCTCTCCGTCTCTTCCGCATCACCAGACCACAGCAATCCGTTTCGGCGTCCTCGAGAACATCTACAGCGTCGTGGATGCATTCGAGCGGCGACGCGACGCCCGCCACCTCATCTCGGTTGAGTCGCCGGCGCGCCGCATCGCCGACGGCAGCGATGGCTCACTAAGGCGAAGGCGTGATAGAGTGGTGCGGACGCCGTCTCCGTCTCGACGGCAGGTTGTGGCGGGTGGTGACACCGATGAGGAGTCGGGCAAAGTTGATGTGGTGGCACAGGAGGTCAGTGGGGCCATATTCAATCAGGGCGGAGGGGAGGATGGATTGCCTGTGCTGTGCTGTGTGTGTGTGTGTGTGTGTGTCTCCGTCCCTGCACACCCAGGCCACGAGCTGTCTCGTGTACAGTGTTCGTGACCGCACCAACGAGCGACAGAAACAGCTCAACATCGTCCACGAAGTGACAGACAGACACATACGAAAGAGGAAAGAGCCTTGACGCATTTTATTCACTCTGTGTCGCTGTGGCTTTCCATCATAGGGTGCGTTGCCTGAGGAGATGATATATGAGGAGGTCCGGACGCAGTTCCACATTGTCAAGGCGCTCGTAGCCGTGCAGCTCCAGGTAGCTCAGGCCAAAAGACAACACACACACACACACACACCACACCGCACCCCACCAGTCGCGTGTCTCTCTCTGTGTGCCATGAGTGCAGGTGAAGATGTACGTGTATCTGTTCCAGGATATCTGTGAGGGGGGAGACGACAACACAGAGGGATACCCATTCGCCACACTCAGGTGAGGAGGAAGTGAAAAGAGGATACATGCATGTGCTGTGGGTGGGTGGGTGGATGGATGGATGCCTGTGTGCCCCGCACAGCGAGGAGCTCAAGTCGTCCCTCCTCTATCAGCCAACCATCGACACTGATGACACACACGTAACCTTCAAACAAGGGCGGAAGAGACACCCGACACGACTCATGGACGACGCGTGTGTCACGGGGTGTGTGTGTGTGTGGTGTTGGTTGTCGCAGGGCGGCGACTTTCACCGGCCGCCGCAGAGAGAGAGCCCGGTCAGCCAGCACCAAAATCCCCACAATTCACTGCTCCTTTCTCTGCTTCTGCAGGTTCGCAAGCGGACGGACAGCGACTACCTGCGTGACTTCGGCCTTGACTCGATGCAGTCGCAGCTTGCACAGAGGATACAGGCCACCGCACAGGAGCTGGCGTACGTCAGAGAGGCGCTCAAGCACCTGGGCCGCCTCATGGTGGCAATGCAGACGGCGCCCATCGACTTTTTCCGACTGCACATCAACCGCAGATGCGCTGGCGACACGGACAACTGAGTGAGTGAGTGGGGGAGTGAATGAAGCAAGGCAAGAGAGAGAGCGACCGACCGATGAGTTGAAGTGGGATGAGTCTGCACACGTACACGCATTGATCATATGGAATATGCACACACACGTCCCATACACCCGCACGTCCACTATGCATCATGGATCACGTCACTCACAGCAGCGAGTAGGGTGAGGATCGGGCCGAGGACACGCACGGCTCCTCTGTCGACCGGCTGTACACGTGTCTGCCGCCCACACCCGCCAATGGCCGCACACGCGCAGACTGACACACCAACCTGACACACACACACATCAACCGTCAAACCCGGCCGGAGGGCGGAAGTATGTCTGCCCACGTACCGCTTGCCAGGCAGCTGTGCAGGCGGCAAGTGCGGGTAGAGGTGCAGTCCGCTCAGAGTGGGGAAGGGCTGGGGACCGAGTAGCTGTCCATCGGCATTAGGCTCTGCCAGCCGTGCCGCGTACCTCCACCGCACAAACGCCCTCACTACTCGGCCGTCCACCGCACACTCAGACCCGCGATAAGGCAGCTGCAGCACACATCATATGCACACCACAAGCGTTGAAAAGGCTTCTGCTGCATCTGTGAGGTTACCCTTATTTGCCGGCCTTCCCTCTGCCCGTTGTCTGAGTGTGCGGCCAACACATTGCGCATCAGAGCGATAAGAGATCTCTGCACACACACATAAATGGGAGACAGACGACATCGATGTGCTTCCGCTCGTTTCCTTCCCGTGTGCGCACCCTAATGAGTGCCCCGCGGTAGTGCGCTACAGCCACCTCCCTCAACGCGCGGCTCCTGACACACACACAGACACGCAGAAATGATGCGAGTTCGCGACCTCGCCCACCCTTCACCCGCCATCCATCCATCCATCCATGCATCTAGCCACCCACCTGACCACTCCGATGAGTGCCTTCACTCGCCGAAAGGCAACCTCCACCTTCATGGGCAGCAGCAGCCTCTCCCAGCCATGCCGCACCACACCACCCACCAGACGCACCAGCAACACGGGCAGAGCGGACACGGGCAGAGCGCCGCGACAAGAACGTCGGCTGCCTGCCGAGCGGCGGGCGAAGCGCCGGAAAGCATGGCGCAGCCGAAGAGAGTACGCCAGCACACGGAAGGCCCGCCGCTCGCGAGAAGAGCTGATAGGTGGAAGCGAAGAAGCAGCAGGGTCGTTTCCATTTAGTGATGCTGGGTGGGTGGCTTCGTACCTTGCCCATTGAACAAGAGCCTGGTGTGAGCCCTTGCATCTGTAGAATCGGGCGGCCACCTCACATAGCCGGTCCATAATGAGGTCGTCACTCATATCTAAACCCCTGCCCGGACCCGAGTCCAGATCCACAGGGACGTGGCCATTATCCAGTGACCCTGACAGACAGGTATGGACACACAAGCCTCCAGCCATGTCAGGCGGACATCATCTCGCACTCACCTTCTGCCATGCGGCAGGTGCGCTCAGTCACCCATCCGCGCGACACTCCCTCACCACCCCAACTCACATGGCCGCCAGGCCTGACGACCTCTCGCCGCTCTTCCCTTCTCTCGCTGCTCAGGCTGGGTACTCTCACACACGTCGGCACTCCACCACCACCCCGCTGCTCGCAGCCCCTCGTTGGCCATCTGCCGTCGTCGATGACACATCGGTTCAGGACTGGCGGGGCGTGCGGCTGGGGGATGCCGCTCCCGTGGTTCATGTTGCTGGGGGCAGCCATGCTGGCGTTGGCCCTGCGGAGGGGCGACGGTGGTGGGTCATGGGGCTGCTGCTGAATGCGCACCACACTCAAGTCTGAAGGACGGCGGCGCCGATTGAGCGAAAGGGCTCTGAAGGCTCGGCGCTGTGCCAGCTGCTGGTAGTGCCGTTCGGCGAGCCGCACTGCAGTGTCCATCCACTGCATCTCCACCTCGCGAATCTCATCTGACAGAGAGAGAGATGAAAAGCCCATGCATCAAGCGCTCGATTGTTGTCCTGCCGTACCTACCGAGCACGTCAGGGGCTATCGACAGGGCTGCGGGAGTGGGTTCCAGATCGAGAAGGCAGCGAGATCTATAATTGCCGAAATATCCATCGTTCCGCTTGGAGGGCCGAGCGATTGGCGATGGCAGAGCCAACTGAGCTTCCCTCATGCCTCCCTCTTCCACTTTTCCCTCAGCCGCAGTAGCGGTTTCACGGAGCCCTAGCGGGATTGCGAGCTTGTGTGAGGCGGTGGGCTGTCTACCTGTCCTTTCGCCTTATCTCTGCTCGCACTAGCCGTTCTTTGGAAGATAGAGATGCCCTTCTCTCGTATGTGCCGAAAAACCTCTCGGTCAACGGACCCTTGAGGTTACCGGCCTCTCTCGCGCGCCTCACCGTCTTATCCGTTCGGCCGTCCGTCAGACCGTTTGTGCGTCAGTGAGCCGGTCATGGTCATGTTGTCGCTATCTCGGGTGTTTCGGTGCGCGATGCAGCGCAACCCGTCGCAGAACATGGTGTACCATGACCTGGGTATCAAGGCTGCGCAGTCGCTCGTCACCATCAAACCCAGGACGTTCATAGAACTCGGGGAACAATCGCTCAAGGTGAGAAGGAGATGAAAGATAGTTATTGTCGGGCCGGGCCGGGTCGTATGTCGCTCCTATGTACGTGTGTGCGTGTGTCTGTGTGCAGGCGACTAGAGAGTTTCTCTCCGATCAGCTGGCTGTCAAGTTCGCACGGCGGCTGGTGAGGACGCCAGGGCAGCGGCAACACACTCGCCTTCAGTGCACTAGATCGCATCCCCCTGGCTGCATGTGCTGTGCTGCCCTGCCTTTCTCTCTGTCAGGATCTTTTCGAGACCCTGCCTGCCCTGATGCCCTACATCGACCGGGGCCTCCTCGGCAGTGTGCGGCAGGACTACCTCGACTGGTTCCAGCGCATTCGCGACCCTGCTGTGGCCAAGGAGCCCGACAACTTCGCCGCCACACTCGACTTCCTGCGCCATAGGCACCATGACGCTGTTTCGCGGACTGTCTGGGGTGAGCCAATTGAGGGAGAGAGAATGAGAGGGAGGGAAAGATGCGCGTCTATGTGTGTGTGTGTGTGCACAGGTGTGCGTGAGATTCTGCGCAAGAACGGGGAGCGACTTCGGTCGGGCGACAGCGATGTGGAGGCGTATGCGGCTGAGGAGCAGCTGCAGCACTTCCTCACCGACCTCTTCAAGAAATACATTCGGTTCGAGCTCGTCATGAACCACTACCTCCTCGCAAGACAGAGCGGCGACAGCACCGCTATCCTCAACAAGGGTTCGCTCAGGGACACTATCGGCATAGCTCTCGACAACTCCACCGGCCTGTGCAGGGTGTGCAGACACACTCAGACAGACGCACATCACCCACACACACATCTGTGTGTGTGATTGGTTCAGACGCGCCGTGGCTTCAGTCCCAATGTAGATGTGCAGACGTCGACGCCAGCCGTGCTGACCACGCCCACGCCCCACTTCCGCCGACCCATCCACTATGTGACCCAGGTAGGCACCGTACTCACAACACAGGCAGACGACGGCTGCTCCACCCATTCACCAATCTGTGCGTGTGTGGGCGTGTGTGTGTGTGCGTGTGTGTGTGCAGGAGTTGTTGAAGAACGCTCTGCGTGCCACGGTGGAGAGCGCGAAGTACAGTGGGAATGGGCAGGCGTCGTATCCGTCTGTGAGGCTCGAGTGCGACGCGACGGCCGAGGGGGGGTATATGGTGCGGGTAACTGACAGGGGGGACGGCATCAACAAAGAAGCCATGGACAAGGTGAGATGAATGAAGGATCCCACACCAATCCCCACACTCTCTCGTTCGTCCATCATCCACCCACCCACTTCGTGTGCGCCTTGTCATGTCATGCATCTCTCATCACTCAGGTGTGGTCCTTTCTCTACACGACGGCCGAGTTCCCCCCCGACCTGACATACGAGACGTGGAAGCGCGAGCCCAAGCTGGCGGGATTCGGTTGCGGCCTGCCGATCAGCCGGCTGTACGCCAACTTCCTCGGCGGCGACCTGACGCTGGAGTCCACCGAGGGCAAGGGCACGCAGGCGACGCTCACACTCCCCCCTCTCGTCATTCGGTGACAGCTCAGGGGGTGGGCGGGGTGGGTATTCTAGGGGGAAGGGATTGGGCGTTTTTAGTGGTGGCTGACGTCGTGGTGGCAGTGCGGTGCATGTAGGTAGCCGGCCGTGGCATATTGCTCTTACTCCTTTTGTGTGTGTGTGTGCATACTTGCGTGTGTGGATGTGTACACAGACAGACATTGACCGATGGACTGGCTGATCTGGCTGACTGATGGCAATGGGTTGACTGACTGACGGCATGGTGGGTGGTGGGGCGGGCGCACAAACAATGAACAGGGCGAGGGGAGGTCGGGTGAGGTGGGGTCGTTTTGTTGGGTGTTGGCTGCGGGAGGGGTCTTTTTGGTGAGGGGTGTGGGGCGGGCGGGTGTATAGGTGTGCACATGTACCCGTTTGTATTGCTAACTAAGGTGAAGCAGACAGAGACAGAGACTCCTCGTGCTGCTGCTGCTGCTGCCTGCCGATGCCGATGGCTGGCTGGCAGTGATGAATCAATGGATCGCCCTTTTTCGGTTATCGCTCATACGATTCGGATCGGACCCTCTCGCTGACTTGTGCGTGCGTGTGTGCTTGATGCGTGAAGACCTCCTTCTTAACCATCCTGGTGCGTTTATATCTCTCTCCCTCCCTCTCTCTGCGTGTCTCTGAGTGACTGGCAACCTGATTTGCAGAGAGACAGACAGCCAGACAGAGAGCCGGACAGCCAGAAGGAATCATCGCTACTGGCCGTTGTGCAGTAAGTACCGTGTTATAATTGGAGTCGTACGTGTTTGTGTACAGAGTATAAAAGTACCCGTACATAGAGACGCGTACGTGCGGGTGTGGTGTGGGTCTCTGTCGGTGTGGGAGAAGGCAATGAAGGAGTGCAACAACCCTGGCCTGCTCGACGCAGCCATCGTCTGGGTCGTTATGGCCCTTCTTTGTCTGCTCACACACAGACAAAGCCCACTGCCTGCCTGGTGTGTATACCTGAGTAAACCTGACTGACTTGACCGAAAGCATCTTAGCGCTCATGTTCCCCTCCCTCCCTGTCCCCTACAACCTGACTGACGTGATGTGACGTGTCGTCTCGTCTCTTGATGTACAGCTGGATGTCATCGTATATATAGCTGCTGTGGATGGATGGATGGACTCACTCAGTGTGTATTTGTCAGACAGACGGGCGGGGGGGCGGCGAGGCAGGCAGGGATCGGAGGGACGTGTGTGTATGTATATCGTTCATACATATGGCAATGGGCAATGGCAGCACCTGAGCCAGGGGAGCTGTGTGCGTGCATGTGTGTGTGCCGGTCTCTGACTGGTCATCGAAGCACATGGATGCCTTTTTTCGTGTCAATTCGCTTCTTTGTTTTGCGCGCCAACCTCAGCTACGTATCTATCGCAGCCATTTCTGGGTGCATTCATGTGCAATGTGTATGTGTGTGTGTGTGTGCGGGAGAGGGCGGGTGGGTGGTGTGACCAAATCTCTTGCTGCCAGCTGAAAGGGACTTCATTCATCGCCTTGATAGTCAGGTGTGTGCATTTGTGTGTGGACCGAGAGGAAGTGACACCGGGTGCATAGAACGGTCACTTGTCATTTTACATCGGGAAGAAGTGCACACATGAAAAACCTGACTGGCAATGGTACAGCAAACATCGCAGACGGGCGATGGATGCAGCAAGGGTTCTGTACACTCATGCAACTCACACACGCCCTCAGCAGCTCAGCAAGGGTTCAGCTTATCGAGGCAGAGCGACAGGTCAGGCAGCAGCAGGAGCGGCTTGCTCATGCAGATCTCGAGAGGCGGCTGGCAGCTGTGGAGAGGCAGCAGGCGGCCTGGCGCGATGAGCAGCAGACAGCCACCATCAGGCAGCTGCAGGACAGCAACGCGGCGATGATGCAGGCCAAGATAGATGCGCTGGAGGCGCAGCTGGTGGAGGGTCACACGGCACTGGCCGAGAGTGAGGAGCGGGTGAGGACAGCCCGACCCGATGTCGAGGCGCTAAAGGCGGAGCTGGCGCAGCAGCGAATTTCCAAGACAGCTGCCGAGGCGCAGCTGCGTGAGCGGGATGGAAAGCTCAGCCGTGCGCAGAAGGACATTGAGGCGTTCAAGGCCGAGATGGCGGGAAAACAAAAGTGGCTGACCGAGGCTGAGAGGACCATCAAGACCCTGCAAGCGAAGCAGAAAGGAGATGAACCACCCGCCACCTTTTTTGTCGTTTTGGGCTTGTTTGGTAGTCTTTGTGTCCTGTCCTGCGGCAAGGTACTTGCCTGCCCTGCCCCATTCTTTCCATCACTCCTCGACCTAGCGAGCGTGGTGATGAGCGTTTTGGGGCTGCTTTGTGTGAGCATCACAGAGGCGGCTCAGCAGCCGGGAGTTGGACGGCGTGACTGCTGAAAACAAGAACAAGGGTGGCTGATAGGACATGAAGGGCACTGAAGACAGAGCGATCCTTTTCCTCTCTGTGACTGATGAATGGATGGATGGTCTTCTGGCTGATGTCGTGGTGTGTCGTGAGTGTGCCGTGCCTGCCCTTCCTCTGATGATCAGAGGTTGCTAAATCTCCTGGTCGGCGATTCGTACAGGCAGGCAGGCAGATCGATCGATCATATGCATTTTTGCTATCCTGCCTGTACCATCGTTCACACGTATGGCAAGTGTGCATCTGCATCTGTTACTCATTTTGCGTAGCGAGCAGATGGATGAGGCCGGCAATATGACAGCGTGTGGCTGTGTAGCTGAGACCTTACCTTGCATGTCATGTGTGTTTATCTATTGACTGGTTTATCAATGCAGTGGCGTGACAGACAGACAGATATGAATGAATATGGTCAAACGGAGCGGCGTGATCGACCGACCACTAACTCCCTTATCCACACATCACATCACATCACATCACATCACATCAAGCGGCGGCACAGCAGTCTCTCCCGCCATTTTATCAACCAGCCCTTCTCGTAGAGGTGGGTGTTTTGAGTGGGTGTATAGTGGCTTTCTAGTTTCTGTTTCGTGTGTGTGGACCACCACCAATCGAGACATCGAAGGGTTCATCGATCACATGCTTGTCAGTCAGTCACTCAGTAAGTCAGTCACGGCACACAGACACCAGCTGCACCAACACGTGAATTCACTCGTATACAGCTATTCACCGGCAGGCAGGCAGACAGCGGGTGAGCCATCCACAACAAATTCACGTCAGTGACGCCCGACTGGATGAGTGCCACTGAGCGAACACATCATGAGTGACTCACACCGACCGGTGCCTGTCCATCTGCTGGCCTGCCTCTCATCGATCCATCCTTCCATCCACGCACGACAAGCAGGACCAGGTGAGGCAGCGACACCAATCTATTCATGCGCACATCAAAACCTGCCCGCCCGCCTGACTGTCTTCCCCTCATCCATCCATCCATCGACCAATCGACGTGCCCCGCTCGCTTATCTCACGTCAGCTGCAGCGGTCTGAAGGTCGCTCTGCCGTCCCGGCCCCTCTCGACCCACCCCAGCTGCTGCCACTGGAACTGGCAGTCGTCATCCCCCAGGTGCTCGTTGAAGCCCTTGACCAGCCCCGCCACGCCATGCTGGGACGCCTCGTCCAGCCGGGC